GTATGGTTTTAACCATTTATTCTAAAGTTTGATTTTTCCTCTCAACAAATCTATTTTGTTGAGGTGTTCTAGGTGTTGAAAAATTATGGCTAATTCCATTTGAATTACAAAAATCAATAAATCTAAGATTTTCAAATTCAGTACCATGATCACTCCTAACACTAGTTATGGAGTAACCTTTTCGTTTTGGATTACTTTTGAAAACGTGATAAATTTTTCTAATGTTTAATCTTTAGTACTTAAGAATAGAACCCAAGTATATCTAGAATAGTCATCTACCAATACAAAACAATATTGTTTTCCACCCAAGCTAACAGTCCTAATTAGCCCAAAAAGATCTATATGGATCAATTGTAATACTCTACTAGTTGATACATCATTAATGGACTTAAAAGAAGCTCTTTGATGTTTTCATTTAGCACATGAATCACAGATTTTATCTTTGTCAAATTTTAGCTTTGACAACCCTATTACTAAATTTCCTTGAATTAGTTGTTGTAAAACACTCATGCTAGTATGTCCTAGTCTCCTATGCCATAACCAGCTATCATGTTCATCCTTATAAACTAGTCAAAAATTAGTCATATTTATTGAATCTAGATGCACCATGTAAATGTTTCCTATTCTATGACCAATGAGCATAATCTTGTTTGATGCAATGTCAATGACTTTACAACTATTTGTTTCAAATAAGACATTGTATTCTTTATCACATAATTGACTAATACTCAAAAGATTATACTTCAATCCATTCACATATAAAACATTTTTAATTTGTATGGAATAGGTATTACCTATTGTACCTATACCTTCAATGTGAACTTTTGAATTATCATCAAAAGTCACATTTCCTCCATTTTTTTGTTAAGCTCTATGAACCGACTCTTATCTCCAGTCATGTGTCTTAAGCATTCATTGTCAAGGTACCATGAGTTTGAATTTGTTTCCCGTGCCTTGTAGCAATACTAATTTCCCTACAAACATAGATTAAGTTTTGATTTTCCTTATGTTTAGTAGTAATGAATTCTTTAGGAACCCATATACTTCTAATGATTTTACCATTAAAAGTTCTTTGAGGACCTTTATGATTGTAGTTTTTAAAACTTTTTCTAACAAAGTTGGATTTTGAATTTTCTCCTTTTTCAAAACGCTTTGTTCCAACTTTATTAAAAGAAGCTTTAAGATCATCAATTTTCTTTTTATGATCATCATTTACTCTTGAAAGTAAGTCATACAAATCAATATTTTTCTTTTCAAACTCGTCTAGTTTGATTTGCAAGTTTTTAATCTTACTTTCAAGCTCAAAGTTGGTATTGGATATGAGATTATTTTAGTTTTTCAATTTTGAAACATCATTTTTGTATTTTAAAAATAATTTCTCATAATCCGAAGCCAACCCAGTATATTCCTTTAAGAACTCATCAAAAGAATAATCTTCGAAGTTAAATGAGCTAGAGGTTACCTGAGAATCCTCCCGAAAGCCATCAAGCCAAGTTTGCTACTTCTTGTTCCTTTTCATCAGAAGTTTCATCATCTCTCTATGTAGCCACGTATGCTTTATACTTCTTCTTGGATTGACCCTTTTTCTTTAATTATGGGCAATCGTATTTGACATGCCCCAGTTTTTTGCATTCATAGCAAATAATAGAGTCTTTCTCATTCGATTCAGTTTTGAAGCCTTCATTTCGTTTGAATTTTCTTCATCGGATGGGATTCATCAGTTTTCTGAACCGTTTGGCAAATAATTTTATTTCCTCGTCTTCGTTATCTTTATCCAAATCACTTTTATCTTTTGTGGATTTGAGAGTAACTCCAACGTTCTTTTTTTACTCCGTCTCTTTCTTTGTCTTGTCCCTTTTCTCGAGGTCTTCCTCATCTTGAAGCATCATTTCGTACGTGAGGAGAGAACCAATAAACTCATCGAGAGTTAAAGATTTTAAATTTTTAGTCTCGATAATCGCCATCTTCTTTGATTGCCAAGCTTTTGGAAGAAAGTAAACTAACTTCCTTACAAGCTTCTCTTTTGAAATAATCTCTCCATATGATTTGAGACCATTGACATTCACGGAAAATCTATTCGTCATAGCTTTGATGTCTTCATCCGGTTTCATCCTGAAATTTTCATGGCTATGAGTTAGAAGACTAATTTTAGATTCTTTTACGTCGTTTGTGCCTTCGTGAGTGACTTGTAGTTTATCCCATATTTCCTTGACAGTTGTACAAGATGAAATTCTTCCATATTCATCTGGTCTAAGAGCACAAAATATAATATGGATTGCCATTGAGTTGAGCTGGAACATTCTTGTTTCTCCTTCACTCCACAATCTTGAATGAGTGTAAGGTATGATGTATCCGTCTTCCATGATATTTCATGCTCCCATGTCACTTGCTTGAATGAAGTACCTCATTCTATTCTTCCAATAAGCATAATTAGCTCCATTGAAGAAAGGAGGCTTGTTGACGGGCATTGAATCAAGACCAAAGTCGAAGTTTGAAGTGGAGGCCATTGATTGCTTGATTATCGATATAACTCTTCCCGAATCGACTTAATAGGTGATTAAATCTTCAAATGAGTGAGGCTCTGATATCAATTGTTGAGTTAATCGATCGATGAAATAACCAAGAGAGGGTGAATTGACAATTAAAATTTTGGTGAAAGCTTTTGCAGAAAATAGAAAATAACTGCACATCGATTTAGAGTGGTTCGACTTTCTCAACCAAAGTCTACGTCCACTACCTTAGCTATCCACACTAAGGATTTTCCAACAAATTTACTAATTTGCTCTTTCTTTTGAGGACAAAGAGTAACCTTACAACTCCCTCAAGAATTATACCCCAAATTCTTGAGAACACTCTCTCCTAAAGAGAAATACACAAATTTTCCAAACTTACAGAAAAACCTCACAAGGCAATATATTTGCACAATTCTAGAACAAGAAAAGAACACTCAAAGATGATTTAAAATGAGCACAATATGAATTCTTAAAAGCAAAATGAATATTTGAAGAAAAATTGGCTTGAATTGTACAAACTTGTTTGATGCTTTCTCTCTTATTTCTTAATGACTTGTTATTGATCAATGACTTCAGAACTTGTTTAAGTACACCTTGAATTGATTCTAGCCGTTGGGAATCATTTGGGTGATGTTAGAGTCGTTGTAGTGTAAAAACCGTTTTGCAAAAGGTCGTTGGGAGCGTGGGGCATCGATACACCTTCAATGGGTATCGGTACCTACAGTGTAAAATTTAAATATTTTGATCGTTAAATGACCAGGGGTATCGATACCTCTAAGGGAGTATCGGTACCCATTGGGCATTCTGTTTTTCTTGGAGCCAAAATTAACATAAGGGTATCGGTACCTCTAGGGGGTATCGGTACCCATTGGGCATTTTGTTTTTCTTGGAGCCAAAAATAACACAAGGGTATTGGTACCTATGACTTAGGTATCAATACCTCCTTATTTAAAACTTATTTTTGGCTCGATTAAGGCTCGAAATACTTTGTAAAAATTGTTACAAAAATATTTTAAGATTGAAACACAATTTTACACTTTAGTAAGGATTGAAATTGACCTTTGAAAATCTTGGAGTAATATTTTTGATATTTGAATAATTTAATCAAATATACTTTAAAAATGATTGTAAAATTTTAAAATTCAGTAACACTTAATTTGTTATATCGAAACATCAAAATGTTTTCAACATATAAGATACCAAATGTTACATTCATTGGTGATAATGGTAGATGATGAATCGATTAGGTAATGTTTAGGGATTCTAAACATAAAGGGTGTAGTAGACTTTTATGTGGACCACACAAAAAATTATGTGATAATTGAAGCTCATAAAAGAAGCAAATAAGTAGTTGAGGATTTTGGTTCTTTTAGCCAAAACAATAATGACAGTGCTAAGGGTAATGGTAAAACTGAAGGTGTGGCCACTGTTCACATTAAAGAGCTTTGTCTTAAAGAGGAAATTATTAGAACTGATGAAACTACTAACACTGTTGACACTAGTTTTGAAGAAGAAAATGCTGGAATGAAAAATGTAAATAATGTGGTTTGTAATGAAACTGTGACACTGCTTGAATTGTAGATATTATCAATGATGATGATGTAGACCTCTATAAATTTGGTATTGTTGAGGAAGAAACATTAGAAAACTCTCATAATTTTTTGTTGGATGTTGAAATAGCTTCTGATGTAGATAAAGAAGTTGAATCAATTAGGGAAACATTGAGATGTCATGAGAATACAAATAATGACAGTGATAGTGAAGACAATCAAGATCGACTGAACATTTGACTTTAACAATAAAAAGAAACAACTTTAAGGAGGATCTAAAATTATAAACCTTGTAATAACCAAGCGACTTCGAAGGTAAATGAATTGTTGTTATTCCTTGAGATCCCAGTTCGAGCACCAGAAATATCAGGGGTGTTAGTGTTCAAGGTCAAATGGTCGAGAGTTATATTTGAATAGATATTGTCTTATACTTACCCATATTAATAAAAAAAATAAAATTAAAAACCTAGTCAAGTTCCAATGTTTAGAGCCTCTTAACATGCATGAATTTCACTCAAAGATGTTAAAACGACAAATGGTGCTTCTTATTTGGTGTTAAAGCAGCTGTTACCGTTCGAGTGACCAATTTATTTTAAGATGATCATATTAATGATCATTTTGTAATTTTTAAAACTTCAATGACAAAACAGAAAACTTACTTAAACTTTAGAAATTATTTGTACACTTCATCCCAAAAAAAAAACCAGAGGCAGCAAGATCACGTGACAATGGGTTATGCTAAGGATAACAAGCACGTGAGGCGGGGCCCACTCTAAGAGTGGCGCCAAAAACACTCAATAGAAACTCTCGCAATCTTTACACGTGTATCTCTCACCCCCCAGATTTTTTTTCCCGGAAAAAAATAAAATAAAAGCAAAAGTATTTTTAGAAAAAGCATTTTCGCCGTTGTTTAAAGCATTATTACTTCCTTTTGCTTCGATACGACCGAATCCTCTGTACTACCAGCAAACAAAGCTTCTAGAGATATAGAAAATAAGATGAATTAGGGTTTAGATTATAGTTAGGGTTGTGAATTTCCCCCTTTTTAAATCATTTCTTTGCTTGTTTGAAGTTGAATCGATGGAGCCTTGCGTCGGTAATAAGTTCCGGCTTGGTCGTAAGATCGGCAGCGGCTCTTTCGGAGAGATCTATCTGGGTTCGTTGCTTTATTATTGTTTTTCATTTTTTTTTCTCTTTTGTTTGTGTATTTGAGTGTAATTTGGCGCTTTGTTTTTTATTATCGCTTTGCAGGTACTAACATTCAGACAAATGAAGAGGTTGCCATTAAGCTTGTAAGTAGTCTTCGTTTACATTTTCACTTTCTATTTTGGTTGATTTTCTTGTTTTTGGTTGTCTGCTTATCTGGAGCTGTGCTCTGTTGCATTAACTTTCTTAAAAAAATAGCAAAGCAATTGCTATTTTGATTAGGGTTTAGCCTGAGATTGTTTCTGTTCAATTCCATCGCTAACACAATCAATCATAACTTAGTGATGTGGTCGATTCATAGGATAGTTGTACAGCAAGAAATTGTAGAAATCTTTTATTCGTCACTTAGTTTTGTTCTAGCCGTTGTGCACGTGAGGCAGAAACTGTATTCCAATTTCCTTTGTGGTTGTTTGGGGTAAGCATGAAAACTGTGCTGATGTTGGCAGCCGCTTGGCATTGTGCTCATGGTTTTTACAAACTCCCTCATAGGGAACAGTGGAAAGCAAACTATTAATTGTGATTGTAGATGGTGAGATCATCATGTCTCATTAGGAGGTTCAACTTTGTTCCTAAATGAATATTTGCATCATAGTGGACGAGGACAATATACACCGGGCAATTATCTCCTAATGCTGTTGCTTACCAATTTACCATCAAATCCACATTTATTCTCCATATTCATTTAATGTTAATCAATCAATGATGCTTCTAAATCTTAGTCAATTGTCATTTCAGCTTGGGTGACATTAAGAAATTGATTTTCTGCTAGAATTATTGTTTGACTTGATTGGTTATACTTCAAAGTTCTGTTGTTTTATTTAGGAGTTGCTTGCTTTTATTTAGTATTGGTAGTTGTTTTCTCCTATGTTGTTGTTGTTTTGACCTTAATATGTTATTTTTGGTACCTAAGGAAGTTACTGACCTTTTCTTTAATGATCAGGAAAATGTGAAGACTAAGCATCCTCAGTTGTTATATGAATCAAAGTTATACAGGTTCCTGCAGGGAGGAAGTAATAATATGTTTTATTTTTGTCTTTCTAAAATATGAAGTTGGTGTTTCAAACTGTGTCTGTTTCTAAATTTCATGTTCATAATCATTTTGTTTCTTTTGACTGCAATTTTTGAATTGCCGCTTCTCAATCTTTTGTTTTGGCAGCTGGGATTCCAAATTTGAGATGGTTCGGAGTTGAGGGAGACTATAATGTTCTGGTTATCGATTTGCTTGGACCCAGTCTTGAAGATCTATTCAATTTTTGCAGTAGGAAACTCTCATTAAAGTCAGTTCTCATGCTTGCAGATCAAATGGTAGTTTTGTAGAATCTTATAAATTTGCAACTGTGGTTCCCTTTCCATTAATGTCTTGTCACTTCATACTATTTTATACTTTTTCTCCCCAGATCAACCGTGTTGAATTTTTTCATTCAAAATCTTTCCTACATCGTGATATTAAGCCGGATAACTTTCTCATGGGATTGGGGAGGCGTGCTAATCAGGTTTCCGATTTCTGTTCAAAATATTGTTATGTATGTTTTTTGTTATATATTATATTTCAGGAGATTTGATGTGTTACTGCCTTTTTATTTTCACATAGGTCTACATCATTGACTATGGTCTGGCTAAGAAATATAGAGACAGTTCAACCCATCAACACATTCCATACAGGTGAAAGAACTTTTCCTGCATGTAGTCTATTGTATATAGTTTATAAGGCCTGATTTATTTCCATACCCCATATTTTTATTCTCTCAACTCCTAGTGATTTTTTTTGCACACAACAAATTACTTATATTGGTAGTAATGACGATTCACAAACTTGACACTGGCATGTCTATTTCATTATTATTTTTGCTGATTTAGTCTGTTGATGGTTTTGATATGCCAAGCCATTTTCTTATATTCTACCTGGTCATGGTTCTTTCAGGGAAAATAAGAATCTGACTGGAACTGCAAGATATGCAAGCATGAATACACACTTGGGCATCGGTATGTATGGTCCATCTTATTTATGGTGTCTTTTCTTTAATGTGTAGACCATTCTACAAGTCTTCTTAGTTTTGATCCTTGGCACTCCTATACCGTCTAGAGCAAAGCCGTAGAGATGATTTAGAGTCACTCGGATTTGTGCTTATGTATTTCCTAAGAGGAAGGTGATTCTTGCCGTCTCTACTCTCTACTACATTCTTTCTTTTTTGTCTTGCATTCATTTGCTTGATAGTTTTCGATTCTGATGCCGCTTTCTTTACAGCCTTCCTTGGCAAGGCCTGAAAGCTGGAAATAAGAAACAGAAGTACGAGAAAATTAGTGAGAAGAAGGTTTCTACCTCAATTGAGGTAATGAGGTCTTGAGTCTTGCAGTTGCAATAAATTTCTGTAAAGGTAATTTGAGGTAATAGAAAGAGGAAGATGTATGGCTTTGAGGTTCTGAATTATTGTGCGAAATTGTGGTTGTTGCAGGCCTTATGTCGAGGTTATCCTACAGAATTTGCATCATACTTCCATTATTGTCGTTCACTAAGATTTGATGATAAGCCAGACTATGCTTATCTCAAAAGAATATTCCGTGACCTCTTTATCCGTGAAGGTTTGAATTTACATTTTCTTTAGTAGTACATTCTGTCAGTTTGTATTAATCTACACTGTAACATCACATCACATCTGTTCTGTATTCTTTTTTACCCTTGCTAAAATAGGCTTCCAGTTCGATTATGTATTTGATTGGACCATATTGAAGTACCAGCAATCACAATTGACAACTCCTCCAGCTCGAGCCCTTGTGAGTGTGAGTAGGATGTTTTACTTTTTTTTTGTAATCGTTGCGGATTTCATCTTTTTTAATGCTCGTCTTTGTTAGGGCGTTGGTGCTGGAACAAGTTCTCCCATGCCCCCTGCTATTGCCAATGCTGACAGACACACAGGTCATTGCTGCTCCTTTCATATGATTGAGTCTGTCTTAAATAGCTCGTTTTTGCTATCTGTGTTCTGAAATTTTGGTTACTCGCGTGTGTTTACACCACACACAAAGTTTGCACATGAATGCTATTCTTTTTCTGTTTTTTTTCACCTGAAGTTCTCTTTGATATTTAACAAGAAAATGGAATCGGATATCTGTTTAAAAATCAAGTTACAATTGGAATTATACCAATTAAATCTCTTGCTTGCAGCTGGGACGGACATGCGAGCCACTGGTTTATTATCCATGGATTCCTCTCGGCGGAGAACATCAGGACCATTGATGAATTCTGGAAATCTTGCAAAACAGAAGAGTCCAGTTGCAAATGATCCTGTAAGTACTAAAAGAGTGGCAATCTTTTTATTTTATGATTGTGAACGTGTATATAGCTGTTCGATGGAACGAGCCTTGTACGAAAGATGGATGTGTTTCAGATACTGTATAATTCTATTAGCAATATATATTTGGTTGTTTTGAACTGACCCTGTGAAGTAGCCTATTATCATATTGTGTTTTCATTCTTAAGTGCTAACTAACTTGGATTTTACTTGGACCAAGTTTGTGGGGCATTCAGGTGGATCTTCTTCCCGGCGAGTTGCTGTTTCTAGCAGTCGTGATGCTTTAGCTGGTAGTGAGGTCGACCCACAACGTTCTCATGCAGCCTATGCTAGCTCTGGAACACTGCAAAAAAGTTCAAGCCGACAGAGAAGTCCTGTTGAATCTGTTGACCCTAAGTGGACAATGTCTGCTAGAAATACCTCTCATGTCAAGAACTTTGAAGCTGCCCTCAAGGGAATCGAAGGCCTGCAATTTGAAAGCGATGAAAGAATTCATTATTAAACGCTCAGCTATAAAAACTGTTGTAAAACATGAAATGGTTGATGTACTAATACATTTTCCATCAGAGTATGGGGGAGGTCGAGTTTTCGAGGGATTGGTAACTCGGTGCTCTTGATTTGGAACCGAGTGCAGTGCACACCCAAAGCATAAATTTCTGATCCTCTGATTATAGAAAACTTGTGAAGTTAAAATTTGAGTGCTTCGATTTCGAAGTTGTTGGCTGTCAAAGTTTAGAAGTGTTGTGGCATGGTATGGTTATTTTCTTACAAGCAGTTTTTAACTCCCTGTTTCTGTGGTGTTAATTTCCTCCTGAGATTGTAAATTGTTTACTGTACTCGTTTTACTTATTATTATATCTTTCTCTTCTTGTTTGTGTACTATTGCTGAGAAGTTGAATTTATAAATTCTCTTTTCATTAATGGAATATATAATGCAGGATTTATTCTTCGTCCATCGAGATAGTAAAAGGTTGTCTGAGTTGGAGGCTGTGCACAAAGCTTCACCAAACCTTGTCTCTACGAGCCAAAGCCATCATCGGCGGTCTGCCCTTAGGTCGAGAGCTGCTCGTAGCCACTGCCCCTTTCACAAATTTTTACACATCCTTGCAGCACTCTTCTTTCCAGCCTCATCAAACCTTTTTGCGCCTCTTTCTCCCTCCCCTCAATATAGCTGCCTACCTTACAGCGTTGCTAGGGATGGCAACGGGTCGGGTTTACCCGACCCATAAAATATGTATCCTCCATTTAAATATGACTTACGATATTTAGTGGTAATCGTGGGATCATATGGTCGTCTTCTGTTGGAATCAAGATACTCATTTTCAACGGCTGACGTCCATTTTGTGGGTTTGATTCCTACGATGCCCGCTTTTAGAACCAACCGCAATAATTGTGCTCATGGACCCGGGGAAGGCAGCTGCCTTCGCAGCCGTGTTGCACTGTACATGATGGTTTGTTGAATAACAACCTCCAAATTGGTTATGAATTTGATGGCTTTAATAAAATATCCACTCAAGTCACCCAACATTCCAGCATACAAACAGCAAATGGAATGATGAAATCTAAAAGAAACGTGTGTGTGTGTGTGTGTGTACCAATCTTCAGCGGCTAAAGAATTAAAGTTTCCATGGGGCACTGAAGTGTTGTTATGGTAATTAGTAAGCATCTTACTGAATTAAGTTCCCATCAGGCACTGAAGCAATGTTGTTATGGGGGTACTGTATGTAAAATCTAATCTGCTCTCCCTTTCCGATTCATCAAATCGTGATAGGCTGCCCAAGAATGCAGAAAATGAACCAGAATATCATACTCCCCACCTGCCATTGCCCAGTAAGAAAAGTCAAACTTAACGTATATGAATCAAAATAAATAAATAAAAGTTAGGGTAAACAACATACTTAGTACCTAAACTATCAGTTTTGATGCATTTCCGTACCTAACTTTTAATTTTTTTTTAAAACCACACTTCGTGTTTAGCTTTTGTTTCATTTTAATACCCGCTGTTAAAGCTTTCATGCGTTTAGTATATAAACTATCAATTTTGGTCCGTTTCCGTACCTAAATTTTCATTTTTATTAGAACTGAACATTAGATTTTGAACAGAATACTAAAATAAAACAAAATTAAACTTTAATATGCTTTTGAAACAATTAAGAGTCTAAATACTAAAACATACCAAAACTAATTAAGCACATTACTTTTATTTACACCAAATATCTATTAGGTCTTTTAACTAGAGATGATCAAAACTATACATGACAAACTGATTTTTCAACTAGACTCGAATTGACTAGTTGTAATATCATAAAATTGACTTGACTAAAAAAAATTCAAGTTCAAATCGAATTATAAAGTACAACTCGAATAATTCAAGTTTTTTTAGTAATTAGTTGATTAATATTTAAGTTTGAGTCTAATCCCTCGACCTTATATGACATATGTATTCATAAAAAAATGTAAAGGAATATATATGTGACGTAAATGATTATAAAAAATCATTTTAATTAAGATAAAATAATATAATATTATAATATTCACGACTAAATTTACAAAAAAAAAATCAAACATTCGACTCGACTTGAATTTTATAAATCCAACTCGACTCTAAAAATTATTTAATATTAAGATGTGAATTTAAGTTAAGATATATATATAATTTAAAATATGCACACATTTATAAGACATATAACAGTCAGTTACACTCAATGGCTAAGTTCTCTCATTATTGCCTAAAGACCTAGGATCGAATCCCACTATTCCCTATTTTCAACTTTCCTTGTTTTCTTTCTACTCTAGTGTGACACGTGTCACCCTCTGATTGGTGAAGTGAAAAATAAATCTGTTAAATTAAAATAAATTTATTGTCCATTCGAACGACAACACATGGCACCATCCGATTGGAGGATTAATTTTATTTTAATTTATTAAAATTAGGACCAAATTGATAGAATATATAAGTAAGAGTGACCAAATATATAATCATATCAATTTTACTAACTGTCACGCCAGTACTTCCGTTAACTGATAACAACAAGTGGTCTGATTGAATGCATTTAAATAGTTGGATGACGGATTGATAAAAATTCAAAAATGGTTATCAAAATGAAAATAGGCTATAGTTCGGTGGTCATCAGTATAGTTTACCCAAATTAAATATGATTAAAGACTAAAACTATAATTAAATCCACTTCAATGTCGTATTATTTTTACAAAAGATAATAATTAAAACCAGCAATATAAGTAAAAGCTATGGACACAGATTGAGTAATTAAAGCTGTCCCATTCAATTAAAAGGTTTATGCACAACATGGACCCACTATGTAAGGAAATGGATTCCACCTTAACTTCAGATGGAAAGATACATGTTTGACAATTTTAATTAAATTTAGACTTCTATTATTAGGGATATGCATGGAACGGGTTTTGACTTGAGTCGGATTTTTAAAAAAAATTGGGTTCAGATTAGGTCGGGTTTGGATTTAGGATAAAAAATATACTACAAAAAAAAATATAATTTTACCTTATATATTTAGGAATAATTACAATAATACCCTTCTATGTATTATTTTTTTCAATTAAGTCACTGTTTTTATTGAATAAAAATAATATTTTTTATTATTTAGGGTCGGGTTGTTAAGTTATATATCGGGTCGGGTTCGAGTCGGGTGGAATCTTGTTTTGGTCGATCGGGTCGGATCTCGGGTGAAAGATTCCTTGCTCTCAGGTCGGTTGGACAAAAAACCCAACCCATACTCATCTCTATCTATTATCAGATTTTTTGAAAATTTGTAAAAAAAAATAATAATAATTTCTTCAAATATTTTAAATTAAAGTCCTTTTAAACTTTTTAAAATCCTTATAAAATCTAAAAAAACAAATTAATTTAGACCTAAAAATTTGGAAAATTAAAAAAAAGATTCAATTTAGTTTAGCAAGATTGCTGTCAAGAGCAAATAGGTAACAGTATATTCCTTTTTTTGATAAATTACCCATTTAGTACATAAATTATCAATTTTAATTCATTTTAATACCTAAACTTTTTTTAAAAAAAATTAAAATCATACATAATATTTAACTTTTGTTTCATTTTAATATCTCACCGTTAAAACTTAACATGTTTAATACCTAAACTATCAATTTTAGTCTATTTTAATACCTACACTTTCAATTTTGTTAAATTTTGAACAGAGGTACTAAAATGAAACAGAAACTAAACTTTAGAAATGGTTTTGAAAATTAACACTTTGGACCAAAACTGATAGTTCATATACTAAACGCATAAATTACCCCTCTTCTTTCACTCTTCATGTGTTACAACTTACAATTAGACCTATAATATTTTTTTTAATAAAAAGATGCCTCGTAAGCTTGGAGAAATTACTAATACATTACATGAGAATATAGAGGGCTAGAAAGGTCTTTCAGATGAGTACTCTGAGTAACATCTGAAATTTTCTCATGAATCACAATGAGAGTGTCAGTCAAGATTTTCAATTTTACCAAAATATCTGTCACCATGTTTGTCGAGTCGAGTCGAATACAAATTAGTCGAGCTGTATCCAAAAGGAAACAAGTGAAAACAATATTTACATGTCCTAATTGAAGGGTCATCTCTATCATATCCTATTCTACGAGCACAATTTCACCTTGGGAACCTACAAAAACACAAATGAGAGATTAAGAATGGGAACATTATGACTGATAAAACAAAAGCATGACCCTATTATTACACGGACTCGGGATCGAGTATTGGATTCGAACATGCCTATGCATTTTAATGGCGCTTGACCGAAACATGTGTTCGGAACGAGTAGTCGAGAAAAAAAAATGAAGAGACGGAGCAACATTACATGTTTTGAGAATCTCTTTGGCCAACTGTAGCAGTGAATCTGTGTCTTCAGCCATTTTCGAGACTCTTTCCGCCTCTTTAACTGCTTCAGCTGCAAGAAATGACTTGTTTTCTGCTTCAACAATCAGATAGGCAGCAGTTGCTGAAGCTTCTTTAACTGCATCACAGGTTATGCGACCGGTGTTTCGGAACTTCTTAGGCCGCATGCCTTTTTGTTTTGGGGTGGGAGTCTTCGTTCCGAAAGTCCCGTCTTTTCTTATTTTGTACCGATTGTGCACCTGCATTATTACCAATAGATAAAGCAAAACCAGTTCCAGATTTCAGACATACTATAAGGTAGGCCTAACAGAACAAACTGCTAACACCATGATTGGACCTAAAGAAAAGGAAAATAACTTTTCCCTAATGTTTCCTTAGGTAAGAACAAGTACGAAATTGCCATTCTTATGGTCTTCTTGCTAACTGTTTTCGGGATAAGGATGTGTTAGTTCGATTCCCATGACCGATAAGCGTAGCATAACCGTTGCAGATGTCCCTATGTTCCTTTCTGTTTATCATGAGAATGATATGCTGAATACAGGGGATATTACGAGGCAACAAAGAAATTCAAGGAAAGCTCTAACCAGTTCCACTCCTTTGAATGAATCATCCATTACTCTATCAGAAGCAGTTTCGAGTAAATCGCAATCGATAAAGAGAAGAATAAAACTGTTTACGATTTACCTTTTCGAGTTTTTCTAAAGCAACCAGCCTTTTCAACCTCGAACATAACTGCTTCTTAAAACTTAGAGGTACCTCTTGCCTTTGCTGCGAAATATGTTGAGGAAATATCATACTCATGATTTCGATAATGTAAGTTCATGACTGAGAAACCAAGTTACAATGCCAATAAAGAGAACTCGAAATCGCAAGATATCTAAGTTAACCATCATTTGTATTTCTACGAGTCTTAAAAATATCATAAAAGGC